AGTTTGTTCAAATGAATGACCTTGGCCCACTTTCAAGGTCACAGGGGTCAAATATGTTAAAATATACAAAGGACTTCATCTCAATAAGCAAAAGTCTATGAGTGCCGATATTGGGTCTGTAGCATGCTGGGAGGAAAGGCTACCAAGTTTATTCAAATGAATGACCTCAACCCACTTTCAAGGTCACAGGGGTCAAATATGTTAAAATATACAAACGACTTCTTCTCAACAAGCAAAAGTCCATGAGTGCTGATATTGGGCCTGTAAGATGCTTGGAGGAGAGGCTACCAAGTTTGTTCAAATGAATGACCTCAACCCACTTTCTAGGTTTGACTTGCTTTTTGTCAGATGACCGTTAAGGCCCATGGGCCTCTTGTTATCTGTGATCCCTAGCTTCCCACTCAGAAGGCCTGTATTCATTGGGACCTTTGGTGGTGGCATAGTCAGTGGCTGGGCCTCCTCGTTAGCCCCGGGCCATGTCTTTCCGTACGGCGGCATGTGAGTACACCTGCTCTTTCACAGAGAGGTCCCTTCCTTCACTTTAGCACTCTGTTCTCCCTCCCTACTACTTTGGTTGTGCTGAAGGGGCTGCCTGGCTTCTAGTCACCACTACGGTAAGACGAATTCGCATACTAAAGTTATGGTAATTATTACTGAAATGAAATTGAGATTTTTTTAATGTAAAACCAATTTTCATGATGTAATACTTACCATAACTTTATGGAGTCCCACCCTATCCTCCCCTCTTCCTTATCTGCCTGGCTGCCCCTCTGTGGGGTTTACGCCATAAAGGTTATTAGAGGAAGGGAGATCACTCTGCGTTCCTGCCGTGATGGCTCATGGATCGTAGGGAGGGCGGGATTGTTTTTCTTTTGAATCTTTTGTTGTTGGGATACAAAGATGGGTGTAGGTACTGTATTTGCATACTAAAGTTATGGTAAGTATTACATCATGAAAATTGGTTTTACATTAAAAAAACCTCAAATCTGTTGTACTGAGTGTTTGCAAATTTATGTGAAAAATGAAGCATTGAAAGACTTTATAGTGACTTCATTAATATTGTTACAAATGTGTTTTACTGTGTAATACAATGACTGCGCCTAAGTGTATGTAAATTTAGGTGAAATTTTTTTTTAAAAATTGACGTTAAATTCCTATTCCGTATATTATGCACCTGTCCCTTAGTTAGTGTTTTTAGGTCATCTGACCCGAAGGGTCCGATGACCTATAGTCATCATGCTTCGTCCGTCGTCGTCCGCCGTGCGCCGTGCGCCGTCCGTAAACTTTTCATTCAAACGACTTCTTCTCAAATACTAGAAGGTCTAGGGGGCTAATACTTGGCACAGAGGATACTGGCATGGAGCTCTACCAAGTTTGTTCAAATGAATGACCTTGACCCACTTTAAAGGTCACAGGGGTCAAATATGTTAAAATCTTTAAACAACTTCTTCTCATTAACCAAAAGGCTCAGAGTGTAGATATTGTGCCTGTGACATGCTGGGATGAAGGACTACCAAGTTTGTTCAAATGAATGACCTTGACCCACTTTAAAGGTCACAGGGGTCAAATATGTTAAAATCTTTAAACAACTTCTTCTCAATAACCAAAAGGCTCAGATTGCTGATATTGTGCCTGTGGCATGCTGGGATGAAGGGCTATCAAGTTTGTTTAAATGAATGACCTTGAACAACTTTCAAGGTCACAGGGGTCAAATATGTCAAAATCTTTAAATAACTTCTTCTAAAATACTAGAAGGCCTAGGGGGCTAATACTTGGCCCATAGCATGCTGGCATGGAGCCCTACAAAGTTTGTTCAAATGAATGACCTTGGCCCACTTTCAAGGTCACAGGGGTCAAATATGTTAAAATATACAAAGGACTTCATCTCAATAAGCAAAAGTCTATGAGTGCCGATATTGGGTCTGTAGCATGCTGGGAGGAAAGGCTACCAAGTTTATTCAAATGAATGACCTTGATCAACTTTCAAGGTCGCAGGGGTCAAATATGTCAAAATCTTTAAATAACTTCTTCTCAAATACTAGAAGGCCTAGGGGGCTAATACTTGGCCCATAGCATGCTGGCATGGAGCCCTACAAAGTTTGTTCAAATGAACGACCTTGGCCCACTTTCAAGGTCACAGGGGTCAAATATGTTAAAATATACAAAGGACTTCATCTCAATAAGCAAAAGTCTATGAGTGCCGATATTGGGTCTGTAGCATGCTGGGAGGAAAGGCTACCAAGTTTATTCAAATGAATGACCTCAACCCACTTTCAAGGTCACAGGGGTCAAATATGTTAAAATCTTTAAACAACTTCTTCTCATTAACCAAAAGGCTCAGAGTGTAGATATTGGGCCTGTGACATGCTGGGATGAAGGACTACCAAGTTTGTTCAAATGAATGACCTTGACCCACTTTAAAGGTCACAGGGGTCAAATATGTTAAAATCTTTAAACAACTTCTTCTCAATAACCAAAAGGCTCAGATTGCTGATATTGTGCCTGTGGCATGCTGGGATGAAGGGCTATCAAGTTTGTTTAAATGAATGACCTTGAACAACTTTCAAGGTCACAGGGGTCAAATATGTCAAAATCTTTAAATAACTTCTTCTCAAATACTAGAAGGCCTAGGGGGCTAATACTTGGCCCATAGCATGCTGGCATGGAGCCCTACAAAGTTTGTTCAAATGAATGACCTTGGCCCACTTTCAAGGTCACAGGGGTCAAATATGTTAAAATATACAAAGGACTTCATCTCAATAAGCAAAAGTCTATGAGTGCCGATATTGGGTCTGTAGCATGCTGGGAGGAAAGGCTACCAAGTTTATTTAAATGAATGACCTTGAACAACTTTCAAGGTCGCAGGGGTCAAATATGTCAAAATCTTTAAATAACTTCTTCTCAAATACTAGAAGGCCTAGGGGGCTAATACTTGGCCCATAGCATGCTGGCATGGAGCCCTACAAAGTTTGTTCAAATGAATGACCTTGGCCCACTTTCAAGGTCACAGGGGTCAAATATGTTAAAATATACAAAGGACTTCATCTCAATAAGCAAAAGTCTATGAGTGCCGATATTGGGTCTGTAGCATGCTGGGAGGAAAGGGCCTCTTGTTTAAAGAATACTTTAAGAACCTTTGTTCAATAAACAATGAATAGACCTTGCCTATTGGGAATCAGAATACAAGTTGAAACTTGTAAAAGCCTATGTTAATTGTGAGTTCAAACTTTGCCTACTTGAGTGTTTATTGCTGTTTGTTTATGCATTATGAGTCTTGTCATCTGGTGAATAAATCATTATTTTCATATTCGTGCTTCACTCAGAGAGAAAGATCTGGTATAGATAGGCTCAAAGCAGAGGAGAGGATGTGTGAAAGAAAAGTGTTAATCTACCTTTTTCCTTCTGTGTGCATACACTCATATAGTTACATTGTCAGTCTCTCTAGTCAACCAAGCCTGGCATGTCCTTCAATGACCTTGGCTCTAAATAAGAAGATTAGCAACAATAGACAAAAATAACTACCTAGTCAATTATTACATTTAACCTGAAACAGATCTACATTACCATATTTGGTCATGAATCAGTATATATTATGTACCAGTGTTTCTGCTAAAAAAATACAAACTTTACATATACCTGTATTAAAGAACTCTGTCATGTGATCTTTCAGTTTTTCCAGGTAATTTTATAGCTTCATGACATTGACTACTGGTATATTAACTATGTACTTGTAATTTACAGCTCTGCTGAAACATATGAAGTATGCTCTCAAATATGAAACATATATTTGTGTGTTATAAAATATTATCAAGAATTGTTACAAATGTATAAGAAATATACCACCATCCTTAACCTCCAGACAGAAAATGCAGTTGTTGGTATTATTCTGGTTCTTGACTAGTGATGACTGAAATGGATATTGTATATCTGTAATTGTTGATATATATGTTGTGTATACTCCGATTGAAATGTGAATAATAACAATCATTACTGTATATAAAAAAAGTGATTCTGAGGGTGCATTCAAAAAGTACATATCATGATTTATGTTAACAAAGTGTACATAAGGATTAGTTTAATCTGTTATTTATTCACTCTAATGCAAAATTTCTGATTTCTGCAGTTGTAGTGTGAACAGTACATTTCGTGTGATAAAAAGTGGGCAGTAGAATATGTTGACTACAGACATATGCTATACGTGTTATCAGTGGTAGTTGGTAGGTCTCTGCTAGAAGTGGACAAGTTATGGGAATGAATCATGTTTGTCATAAAAAAATCTAAAATGCTACTTAGATGTCATAAAATATATAGTAGACAATGACAAAGTTTTTGTTCCTGTCTCATATTTACTGTACCTGGACTTTGTGTTACAATGTACCTAAATCTTTATAATCTATATTAAATTTTTAATGTTGTTCTTGGTCTAATATCTGATACCTCTGCTATTCTGCTATTGGTAATGTCTTGTTTTGGCTGTTTATAATCTATAAAAGTGCTGTTTTGCATGTAATAGGTTATATCTAGCATATGAAGTTATATATAGATATCATTAATATGGTAACTGTCAGTAATTTCAGTTATTTGAATTTTATCAGTTTGATGATAAATGAACACATTTGTCTAAATGTTATACTCTCAGTACTTTGATTTATATCAGTGTGATGATAAAAAGACACATTTGTCTAAATGTTAAGCTGTAGAACGATTAGGTTGTCAACAATGTTATAGGTATAAAACAGCTGTAATATGTACAAAATCTTAGTATTTATTAACTACATTTCATATGTGGAAGTGGAAATGCTTTACTCATTGCAGGGTTGTTGTATCATTTCTATGTATTTATATAAGTGTTTAAACTCTGAAGTTTTTTTTAGATTCTGCATGATGAATCTTAAGTAGGTAGAACATTTCTGAAAGGCCATGCAGACAGTCTTGAATTTTTATTTTATCTTGTTTAACTGTATATTTTATCAGTTGAATACAAAAGCCTTTTTTTACAGGGGCCTGCAGAAACTAGCCACCAGACACTTAGCCTTTGGGATAAAGGAGATGTACAGGGGATTTTACATCTCTGCTCAGGTTAGATTACTACAGAAGTATGTCCCTTCTCTGAAACGAGAAGATATTACAAGGTAATGTCTACATGTTTACTTGGTGCTGTTTGAACTTTATATCGGTCATTCAGGATTTTAAACACGTATTTATGTATCATCACTTCGTCTCTTGTAATATTAATTTTTTAAAAATTTATGGTAAATAATAACTGCCTATACTTTATGCCGGTGAAGATTAACAAATGTGTCATTTTTCATTTACTTCCTATTAAGCCTGAGATGTTCTTTAACTTTGGCTTGATCGCTCATAAGTGATATACCCATCAAAACATATATTTATATCATATGAAGGAGTGTCTTATGAGTGATATTCCCTTCTAGACGTGTGTTTATATCATATGAAGGAGTGTCTTATGAGTGATATTCCCTTCTAGACGTGTGTTTATATCATATGAAGGAGTGTCTTATGAGTGATATTCCCTTCTAGACGTGTGTTTATATCATATGAAGGAGTGTCTTATGAGTGATATTCCCTTCTAGACGTGTGTTTATATCATATGAAGGAGTGTCTTATGAGTGATATTCCCTTCTAGACGTGTGTTTATATCATATGAAGGGTCTTATGAGTGATATTCCCTTCTAGACTTGTGTTTATATCATATGAAGGAGTGTCTTATGAGTGATATTCCCTTCTAGACGTGTGTTTATATCATATGAAGGAGTGTCTTATGAGTGATATTCCCTTCTAGACGTGTGTTTATATCATATGAAGGAGTGTCTTATGAGTGATATTCCCTTCTAGACTTGTGTTTATATCATATGAAGGAGTGTCTTATGAGTGATATTCCCTTCTAGACGTGTGTTTATCATATGAAGGATCTTATGAGTGATATTCCCTTCTAGACGTGTGTTTATAGACGTGTGTTTATATCATTTGAAGGAGTGTCTTATGAGTGATATTCCCTTCTAGACGTGTGTTTATATCATATGAAGGAGTGTCATGAGTGATATTCCCTTCTAGACTTGTGTTTATATCATATGAAGGAGTGTCTTATGAGTGATACTCCCTTCTAGACGTGTGTTTTTATCATATGAAGGAGTGTCTTATGAGTGATATTCCCTTCTAGACGTGTGTTTGTATCATATGAAGGAGTGTCTTATGAGTGATATTCCCTTCTAGACGTGTGTTTATATCATATGAAGGAGTGTCTTATGAGTGATATTCCCTTCTAGACGTGTGTTTATATCATATGAAGGAGTGATATTCTCTAGACGTGTGTTTATATGTCTTAGTGATATTCCCTTCTAGACGTGTGTTTATATCATATGAAGGAGTGTCTTATGAGTGATATTCCCTTCTAGACGTGTGTTTATATCATATGAAGGAGTGTCTTATGAGTGATATTCCCTTCTAGACGTGTGTTTGTATCATATGAAGGAGTGTCTTATGAGTGATATTCCCTTCTAGACGTGTGTTTATATCATATGGAGGAGAGTCTTATGAGTGATATTCCCTTCTAGACGTGTGTTTGTATCATTTTCCATGAACCCTGAGAACTGATATGTCCTTTAACAATTTTAGCTTGTTGTTTGTAGAGGTCCATCAGGAGTGAGAGCCCAGGCTCTAGACAGGGAAGGCCAATTGGTGGACGATTTTGTCTTTGATGTGGGTCAAGGAGAAGTAGGGAGTCGTGTGCTCCATGTACGCAATGCACCATCTCCAGCGGCAACTTCCTCTCTTTCTATTGCGAAAATGGTCGCTGATAAAGTGGAAGGAACTTTTGAACTGTAATACCAAAGACATTTTAATTTATATGCAATATATGGAAGGTTGATTGATAGAAATAAAATAAATAACAACTTTAAGATGATTAGGTTGAAATTTAACAAATGACTAGCAGTATATATTTTATCCCCTATCCAGAACAAGTGGTGTTTCAGGGTGTTTTGATTTAAACGTAAACAAAGCGTACAATAATTGTTTTTTAATTCTTGTGTATTAATAAAATGCACGAAATTTGATTAAAATCACACATTATAATATAGATATATCATACTTAATCAAAAATCTTCTCTTGAAAAAATTTAATAGAATATTATGTATGTTAAAGAACATATCTTATGCGATACAATATACCTATAAAAGTGAATATTTTTGGGTCTGAACTCAGTACCATTTTATGATGATTTAAAAGATAATTTTTAAATGGGTTATATATATATATATGGTTAGAAAGAAAGCTGTTATGTGATATTTTCTGTTTTGACAATTGTAAAAATTATATATATATTATTCTTACAATTGTCAAAACAATTATATATATACATGTATATATCATGTAATATATATTATCCAACCTATGTGTCTCCTCAGTCACAGAGACTGACCATGCATACAACCTGTGTGTCTCTTTATTCACAGTGAATGTTCATGTGTCCTACCTGTGTGTCTGTTCAGTCATGGTGACTTAAAATTTATCCAACCTGCATGTCTTCTCAGTCACAGTGACTGACAATATATCCAACCTGTGTGTCTCCTTGGTTACAGTAACTGACAATGCATCTATGTCTGCTAAGTCACAACTTAGAAGCATACTTGTACTTGCAACCCATTTGTCCTGTGTACTTTTGTGACAGATTCTGCTGTTTAATCATGTCCACCATCAGATTTTATATTTAGTGTCTCCACTGTCAAGATACTTATTTTGTCATTACATGTAGGGTATGTTAGGATATTATGGCAGGGTCTGTCACTGAAACAGATCAACTATAATAATAATTTTACCATAATTATGTCAACCATTCTTTGTAAAGTAGAGTTTTAGAATGCCTGACAATTTTCAGACGAGCCAAACCATATCTTACTTTTGTTGTCCACTGTCATGAAATGGTCTTGCACTTGGTTGTTGTTCTCTTATGACTTTCGTTCAGTTACTGTTAACGGACAGAGGTATGGAATTGTTCTTTGGTATGTGATAAGATTTGCAAAATGAGGAGATGCAAGTCATGTATCATTTTTATTGTTTTAAATCAATTTTTTTTTCAGAGTTTTGACCATTTAACTTTTCACAAAAAACATATAATCAAATTGGACCATCTTGTCTTATAGCACTGGAAATTTATAAAATAAGTTCAGGATCATCTGTCTTATATTATCTCATTCCAGTTCTGTTTTTATGTCACACGTGTAATTGGGCATTCACAGACAACTAGTAGATGTAACATATTTCAAAGATATTTGATTTGAAAGATGAACTCTTAGATTTTGTAAAGGATATAAAAGATTCATTATATGATACTGTCACTATATTTTACAAAGGATGTACATGATATATACAGAATCTGGAATGGATGGTGCCAATATTGTGATAGATCATATTATTTTATGTAAATGTTATACATTTTTATAATATAATACAATATTTGAATGATATCACAGGAAACACCTGAAGATATCAGGTAGATCATTTTAAAAAGCTTTATCTAAACTTATACAAAATATAACTAGTTTATTTACACTTACGTCTTGTATTGTTTACTAAACGTTTTAATATAGCAGGGAAAATAAAATGTGTTGAATTTGTAAATGTGATTGATGTGTTATGTATTTGATCATAGGATGATCTTCTCTGTACCTTAGAAAATATTTTGTACTTTGATAACATACAGATATTGGCCATTACTTCAGATGTTTTTTCAGGTCATGTTGTACATTTTTTGATGCAAATCTTTTCACTTGTCTGTGACAACAGAACTATTCCAAATCTCTCATTACTATCATTAATTCCACCATACTTGGTAATTATTGCACCATCCAGAGAACTGAATTGTAAGACACCACAACAAATTCAATGAAATGCTCAGAATCCAAATCTATCTAATCTAACTAACTTCACAATTTCTGAAACAATCCTTAAAGAGATATTCAAACGGCATCCCAAAGGCATTTCAAAATCTCACCACAGAGTCAACTACCAAATATTGATAAATTCTAACCTTTATTCTAGCTACCATACTAAGTCTGGCTGACACTGGTCACCAACCTTTTCATGTTAAGTGCAATTCTTGTCAATGGTCACTACATCACAGGTCAATGATCAGCAGTATCATTTTATCCCTTAATATATCACTCCATTTCCCACTATAAAACCAACACCAATATAAATCTCACTACCACTTGCTTGTGTGTTCCACACTGGTCATTTGTCTGATGAAGGTGGCCGTGTAGTCATTGAAACATCACACTCTAATCTCCTACTGGTTTTGCTATAAGAACTTCTATTCTAATGACATTACCAACCTGAAGAAAATGTTTTGAAATACCACTTTATTATAGCTTTCCAGAAGATTTAAAAGTTAGATGAATGGACAGACGAGAATCTCCAAAGTACCCAATTGTTTCGTGCCGTGATTAAAGGTTGTGAACAGGGGTACTACTGGTAGCTTTATCTTGGTTGTTCTGTGTTTCAGTGTTATGATACCCTTCAACCGTAGCTACTTTCTGTTTCACAAGAATTGGCCAGTTTGGAGTTGTGATGGTCTCAAAACATATTTTGATGATATCATTTGATAGCTCTAGACTTTGGAGAGCAAAGACGTTGTTATTCAGTCATCTCCTAGTTTTAATTTTAATTGACAGCACAGTTCTTACAGTAATAATTTGTTTGTTGGCTTTATAGCACAGATTCATTTGGAGGCAAGGTCTCCTTGAAGTAACTGGTGGCTTACTCAATGAACAACATATTAGAGGCCCTCCAATGCACTCTTGATAAAGTGTCTTGCCCAGGGAAACAACTTCAGTCCTTCTCAACTTCCCAAGAAACACAAACCACCACATCTGTAAAAACCATGCACCTGTGTTTATATACACTCATTCTCTATTGTTATGATCACTGATAGTTTAAGTTTGAGTTGTTATTTTCGCTTGTTTGTTTGTTTGCGTGTTTGTTTTTTGTTTTTGTTTTTTTATTTTTGACAAGTTAATACACTACATCAGCTTTAAGAATTCAAGAAAGCATGTAACATATATGCAATAGACTAGCATAGAGGGAATTATGAGATTATTGTTTTGTCTAGTTTGTCTTTACAGATGCCATTGACAACATCATGACATTTAAACATATTAATAGCTTGTCTTTGTTACAGTTACTGCTATTTTCCCCTTGACCACCCTCCTCTACTTTTTCTTTGTTACAGTTATTACTATATTCCCCTTGACCACCCTCCCCTACACTTCCTTTGTTACAGTTACTGCTATATTCCCCTTGACCAACCTCCCCTACTCTTCCTTTGTTACAGTTATTACTATATTCCCCTTGACCACCCTCCCCTACACTTCCTTTGTTACAGTTACTGCTATATTCTCCCCTACCCTTTGTTACAGTTACCATACCTCCCCTACTCTTCCTTTGTTACAGTTATTACTATATTATACCTCCCTCCCCTACTCTTCCTTTGTTACAGTTATTACTATATTCCCCTTGACCACCCTCCCCTACTCTTCCTTTGTTACAGTTATTACTATATTCCACTTGACCACCCTCCCCTACTCTTCCTTTGTTACAGTTATTACTATATTCCCCTTAACCTCCCTCCCCTACTCTTCCTTTGTTACAGTTATTACTATATTCCCCTTGACCACCCTCCCCTACTCTTCCTTTGTTACAGTTATTACTATATTCCCCTTGACCTCCCTCCCCTACTCTTCCTTTGTTACAGTTATTACTATATTCCCCTTGACCACCCTCCCCTACTCTTCCTTTGTTACAGTTAATGCTATATTCCCCTTGACCACCCTCCCCTACTCTTCCTTTGTTACAGTTATTACTATATTCCCCTTGACCACCCTCCCCTACTCTTCCTTTGTTACAGTTATTACTATATTCCCCTTGACCACCCTCCCCTACTCTTCCTTTGTTACAGTTATTACTATATTCCCCTTGACCACCCTCCCCTACTCTTCCTTTGTTACAGTTAATACTATATTCCCCTTGACCACCCTCCCCTACTCTTCCTTTGTTACAGTTATTACTATATTCCCCTTGACCACCCTCCCCTACACTTCCTTTGTTACAGTTACTGCTATATTCCCCTTGACCACCCTCCCCTACTCTTCCTTTGTTACAGTTATTACTATATTCCCCTTGACCACCCTCCCCTACTCTTCCTTTGTTACAGTTACTGCTATATTGCCATTGACCACCCTCCCCTACACTTCCTTTGTTACAGTTATTACTATATTCCCCTTGACCACCCTCCCCTACTCTTCCTTTGTTACCTTTGTTACAGTTATTCCCCTTGACCATCCCTCCCCTACTCTTCCTTTGTTAGTTACTATTCCCCTTGACCACCCTCCCCTACTCTTCCTTTGTTACAGTTATTACTATATTCCCCTTGACCACCCTCCTCTACTCTTCCTTTGTTACAGTTACTGCTATATTCCCCTTGACCACCCTCCCCTACACTTCCTTTGTTACAGTTATTACTATATTCCCCTTGACCACCCTCCCCTACTCTTCCTTTGTTACAGTTATTACTATATTCCCCTTGACCACCCTCCCCTACTCTTCCTTTGTTACAGTTATTACTATATTCCCCTTGACCACCCTCCCCTACTTCCTTTGTTACAGCTATATTCCCCTTGACCACCCTCCCCTACTCTTCCTTTGTTACAGTTATTACTATATTCCCCTTGACCTCCCTCCCCTACTCTTCCTTTGTTACAGTTATTACTATATTCCCCTTGACCACCCTCCCCTACTCTTCCTTTGTTACAGTTATTACTATATTCCCCTTGACCACCCTCCCCTACTCTTCCTTTGTTACAGTTATTACTATATTCCCCTTGACCACCCTCCTCTACTCTTCCTTTGTTACAGTTATTACTATATTCCCCTTGACCACCCTCCCCTTCTCTTCCTTTGTTACAGTTATATACTACTATCCTTTGTTACAGTTACTACTATACTATACTCTTCCCTTGACCTCCCTCCCCTACTCTTCCTTTGTTACAGTTATTACTATATTCCCCTTGACCACCCTCCCCTACACTTCCTTTGTTACAGTTATTACTATATTCCCCTTGACCACCCTCCCCTACACTTCCTTTGTTACAGTTATTACTATATTCCCCTTGACCACCCTCCCCTACACTTCCTTTGTTACAGTTATTACTATATTCCCCTTGACCACCCTCCCCTACACTTCCTTTGTTACAGTTATTACTATATTCCCCTTGACCACCCTCCCCTACACTTCCTTTGTTACAGTTACTACACTTCCTTTGTTACAGTTAGACCACCCTCCCCTACACTTCCTTTGTTACAGTTATTACTATATTCCCCTTGACCACCCTCCCCTACACTTCCTTTGTTGACAGTTATACCCTGACCACCCTCCCCTACTCTTCCTTTGTTACAGTTATTACTATATTCCCCTTGACCTCCCTCCCCTACACTTCCTTTGTTACAGTTATTACTATATTCCCCTTGACCACCCTCCCCTACACTTCCTTTGTTACAGTTATAACTATATTCCCTTGACCACCCTCCCCTACACTTCCTTTGTTACAGTTATTACTATATTCCCCTTGACCACCCTTCCCTACTCTTCCTTTGTTACAGTTAGTACTATATTCCACTTGACCTCCCTCCCCTACTCTTCCTTTGTTACAGTTATTACTATATTCCCCTTGACCACCCTCCCCTACTCTTCCTTTGTTAAAGTTACTGCTATATTCCCCTTGACATCCCTCCCCTACTCTTCCTTTGTTACAGTTATTACTATATTCCCCTTGACCACCCTCCCCTACTCTTCCTTTGTTACAGTTACTGCTATATTCCCCTTGACCACCCTTCCCTACTCTTCCTTTGTTACAGTTATTACTATATTCCCCTTGACCACCCTCCCCTGCACTTCCTTTGTTACAGTTACTGCTATATTCCCCTTGACCACCCTCCCCTACTCTTCCTTTGTTACAGTTATTACTATATTCCCCTTGACCTCCCTCCCCTACTCTTCCTTTGTTACAGTTATTACTATATTCCCTTTGACCACCCTCCCCTACTCTTCCTTTGTTACAGTTATTACTATATTCCCCTTGACCTCCCTCCCCTACTCTTCCTTTGTTACAGTTATTACTATATTCCCTTTGACCACCCTCCCCTACTCTTCCTTTGTTTCAGTTATTACTATATTATTTCAATTTTTTGGCACCAAAGTGCAATCTTGTTCACTCATGGTTTAAAATGTTGAATTAAGTAACACACCAGGATGTTGTGAACTCTTATAAAAGTGCCACCCATTCATATGTATACATCTATTTTCTGATTATGTAAACCACAAACAGAGGTATTTGATCTTATATATCTATGTCCATGGTAATACTGAGCTGAAAATACAATTTTCATTTAATTTCTTGCGTTTTATATCAAATGCTTGTTTAGGTCATAGCCCAACAGAACAGGATAAGGTTGAAGTCACAGCATGTCGACATGTATATTCCTGCATATCACACACATTAGGTTTGTTGGTTTTCAAGGTCGCATGGTAATATACATTGTACTTTTATATTTATAGATCCATGTACACAGTATTTGTCCTTATAAGGAAGATCCTTAGAGGTTGGATTAGCCACTAAAAATAAAGATTCCATTTGTTCAGTGGAATGGAACATGACCTGGCCGGTACATAATCTTTCCATTCAAAGGAGTCAGATATGTTTAAATCTTCAAACAACTTTTTCACAATAATCAAAAAGCCCGTGGTGCTCATATTGGGTCTGTAGCATGCTTTGAGTTAGGGCTATCAAGTTGACCCGCTTTCAAGGTCACAGGGGTCAAATATGTTAAAATATTTAAACGACTTCGCAATAACCAAAATGCCCAGAGTGCTGATATTTGGCCTGTAGCATGATGGGATGAAGGGCTATAAAATTTGTAAATACGAATGACCTTAACATGTTGTCAAGGTCAAAGGGATCAAATATGTTTAAATATTTAAACAACTTCTTCACAATACCCAAAAGGCTCAGGATGCTGACATTGGGCCTGAAGCATGATAAGATGAAGGGATACCAACTTTGTTAATATGAATGACATTAACCCGCTTTCAAGGTTACAGGTGTCATATATTTAAATCTTTAAATAACTTCTCCTCAATAAGCAAATGGCGCAGGGTGCTGATATTGGACCAGTAGCTTGCTTGGATGAAGATTTGTTATGTTTGTTCAAATTGATGACATTGTTTTATAAACGGTGGGTCTCGGTACTCTCAGGCGGGAGGGCGGGGTCCAATAGAGGAAATATAACTAATTATTTAAAATCCTAAACCTCCCATAGGAATGATTGATTGGATTTTACCTAAAATTGCCAAATTTAGTCTGAAGTATTCTTAGGTGAAGGGAAATAAGTTTTGTACACGGATATTGTCCGTCTAAGTTTGGTCTGAAGCAATTTTTATAAATAGTGAATCTGACCTCTGTTTGCCCACAAGTTCGGGACCAAAAAGGGAAATTACATCAGAAGTTGTTGGTCATATTTGAAATTCTTTATTAAATGGTTGAATAACTAAATTAGCAAGGATAGCGATGCAGGACTCTCGGACCTATTGTTGTTTTGTCTTGGTCGCTGGCCGTTTAATCTTTCTATTGATGTATGATTTATAAAACATTGCCTGAATCCCGATCCTTGCAGGGGATCGCTTGTATTTAGGGTTTTTTTTTATAGGGTTGAATTCTGAATATCGAAAATACTTCGTCAATTTGACTTAAATTTCATTGTGTTTAAGATAACCCCCTAATTGTTTATGTTATTTTCCGACAAAACAAAATGCTACAGAACTTTGTATTCTTCTCTCCACCAGACCCGACCAAATTACATGTCAATAGTTGAACACATTGCAGACACAATGTTTTGTTCTTTTTTTTTCAGGGCCAAACATCAAAATATTTGACGAGACGTACTAAAGTATGGCTTTGTCTGTCTGCCAACCCTTAACTTACCACGTTGGTATTTTAGACCAAAATAGGTCGAACGAGTTTGGGTAACAGAACTTTGCAGTCATTTTTATCAGAGTTTTGCGCATGCCCCTTTTATTAGGAAATACCAACGTTGTGTAGAAAAGGCGAAAACATTTTTTAATTCTCTGATCAATTCTTTCAAATCTGATAAGGTGATGCCAAAATCGAATGGATTTAACCTTCATTACGGGTTTTCCAAGGGACCCCATATTTTCAGAGCTATGCCCCTTTTATTGTTTTCTTAACGATAGCTTCGACTGGAGATCTTCTTTCTCAGTGTTCAACCAACTTGTTTCAACATTGAGGTCAAGTTTTATTACAATTTTAGGCCGAAGGCCCTTTTTATTACATACAAAGTACATGATATAATGAATACTATTGTTACATATTCTATGAATATTTAGTTATTTATTAGCTTCATAAATAAATTGACCTACAAACAAAGTTCTTTAATATTGTGGATACTCAATAATTCAATTAACTTGAAGACTGAAGGTTTTCTCCAATAACTTCTTTTAATAAGATGAGCTCGAAGGGCTTGGAATTTGCTATATATTATTTAAAAAGGGAATCCATCCTCAACTTCAGTAACAGAGTTACACTATTAACAATATCTTTGTGCCCTTGGAATATTCATATATATCTTCTTGTCTCTATAGCAAGAGAACGAGATGACATATGGATTCTAGTGAAACATATACGGTATTTCATTGGTATATATTTACTAATGTAAAACTGCAAACAAAATGTTTGATTTACGGAATATTTATACATAATGCATTTTGTTGAATTTTCCAATGAAGTCATAATTAATTGCTTTGCCTGATCAAATATTCTTTGCTTAATCTCCAATAAAATCAAATTTGGTCGAGTAACAATATTGAGAGTTATCCATATATTACTAAAACCTTAATGGTCGAATTCTTCCTTAACAGAAGTGACCCAATTAAAAATATTTAACAAAAAATTATGTGATTCAGATACAATACAGTTATCAGAAAGTGTCATTTTAAACCAGTATTTTATCTTTATATATTTTCTGACAAATTCCAAAGGAAACCGTCCCAATTCAGGATAAAGCATCCCACTACCGCTGACTTCTTTACTTAAAACAGTTTTTTTTACAAAAAAGAAACTCTAAAAAAAAAACAAAAAAAAACAAATACACATGTTCTTCAACATCACGAATTCCATATTTCGCTAGCATATAAAGAGAATACTACCCACATAAGTATCAAATAAATGTAACGTATTTTTTTAAATTTAAGGTTTAAACAAGAACAATTG